AAGGACAACCCCACATCGGACAGAGGGTTGATCTCCAAAATATATTAAAAAAAAAAAAAAAAACAACAACTCAAGAAATTGGTCATTGAAAGAACAAATAATTCAATAAAAAAAAATGGAGTACAGACCTAAACAGAACTCTCAACAAAGGAATCTAAAATGGCTGAAAACACCTAAAGAAATGCATGAGGACCATGGGAGAGGGTAGAAGGGGAGAGGAGAGGAAGAGAGGGGAGTGGAGAAAAAAATATATAGCTCGATAAAAGCAATTTAAAAACTTTTTTTAAAAAAAGACTGAGCTGGCATGATCGTGCATGACTCTAATCCCTGCACTGCAAAGGCAGGTGGCAGGCAGATCTCTGTGAATTTGAGATCAGCCCAGTTCACACAGATTGATCCAAGGCTAGACAGAGCTGTACAACGAGACCCTCCCCCGCTCCAAAAAAAAAAAAAAAGATTGTTATTTGGGTAAAAAGAACACAGCTTTTGTGGCTACTCAGGTCAGGATTCTCAATCAGGACTCTAGGGGAAGACTCCTGCCTCACACCCCAGTTCATTCTGTTCAGCTTGCTGTCTACTCGGCTTCTGATTTGAATTCTTATTTGGATCCAGCTCTGATTCCTACTGGCCGTGAGTGGTTTCTCTGGGCTTCCGGTCACCTCCTGTTCTCCCAAGATGTGTGCGAGGTCTTGATTTTTATGACCTATTCATATTTGCAAGACGCCAGCCACTTCCAGACTTTCCTCACCCACCCATCACCCCACCCCCACCCCGCTGTCCGGAGGGATTGGAATTGAAGCACGTCTTTGATGCTTTCTTTAATACGTTTCTGTAGCTCAGCTGCTTTCCTTTGACTTAATTTCCATAACACAAAGCCCATCAGGATGGCCGCAGGTTCAGATCATCTTTGCATAAGTGGTAGCTTGGGAAAGGTGTTTGACTTTTAGCAGCAATAAACAAACAAACAACAAATAAAAGGCCCAGGGTACCCCTTTAGTATCACTGGGACCAACAGAAGTTCCGTGCAGCAGGAGACGTCATCCCTTTCTTGCTTTCTTGACCTGTCAGATGTGGTCCAGCTCTGGCTGAAGGTGCTACTGCCTTTGCTCTCCTGGGGCAACTGCAGAAGCCTGGGTGTGGTAGTTTTTACCCCACCCCAAAGACTTCTTGAGCACCCCAAGTCTTTCAGAACAGAGTCAAAGCCACTGGCTAACCCACCCCAGCAAGCCAATACGAGGCACCTCTCTGTCCAGAGAGCACCCTGACCCCTTCTGCTCAGGAGAGAAGCCCCTTAAAGTCTGGCCTTGAGCTCCCCTGATCCTCCTGCCTCAGTTTCTCCAGTGCTAGGTTGACAGCTGAGAATCACCACACCCGACTTAGCACTGTGACTTCTCGGCCTGGAAAGGGACCTGAGGACCTGGGTTTAAGAGTTCCTTCAAGTCCAGTTTCTTTTTGAAAAAATGGTGCTAGTTATTTATTTATGTGCACGTGGATGTCAGAGGAGAACCCACGGGAGTTGGTTCTCGCCACAGTGTGGATCCTATGGATGGGAGTCATGTCATCACGCCTGAAGGTAAGCTCCCTTATCAGCCTGGAGCCCAGCTTCCTAAACTGAATGTAGGCATTGCAGGAAGTTTGGCAGTACGGAAAGGCCTTGCCTGTATTCCCTGCACACTTGTCTTGGTCTCGTTATTGCTTCCATGCCTAAAGACCACCAAGTCTCTAACCTTTCTCTGTGGATAGAATTCTTTTTTAATTCAATTTTTTATTTAAAAAAAAAAGGATTTTAAAATACTTAGAAGTTTGAACTTGATAGACTTTGGCAAGTTCTGTTACTACCACAGACTGACTAGGCTTCGGTGTTCCACTGAAATCCACTCACAAGGAGTCTGACAGCTCTTCATGTGCTCAGAGCAGGAAGGTGTTCCACAGCAGCCTAGGGTCATGGCACAGCCAGCCCTACCTCTCAGACTGTAGGACTGCGGGGCTCTGTGGCACTAGAGCTGTGAAAGGGGTCCCACGTGGAGCTTTCGGTGAGCCCAACAGAAGAACATTACAGATGCCCAGGGCTCTGAACCAAGACATGGCATCTGCAGGAAGAATCGTACACCAACCGACAAGCCATGACCAGAAGGCAGCTGGGCGCTGGGAGAGACGAAGCTTCTGAGTGATGGTGATGAACGACCACGTGAATGACGCTCTGTGTGAGCCACTGAACCACAAGGACAGCCAAGCCCAGCCATTGGCCTTTAGACGGCCACGGGATGAGCGGGGTCAGCCAAGGAGGCTACAAGAGTAGTAGCCCTGACTCCCACATCACACAGTGATGGTGCCCTTGGCCCTCCTCCCTCAGGTCACACTCATGGGTAGCTGGCGGAGGAGAAAACAAGCCACGCTAATTACATAGATCATCGTGTGGGTGTGAGCCAGGGCTGCTGACATTCCATCACTGAAGAGGAAGAACACCCTTGGTTCCCAGGTGGCTCGACTCAGCCATTTCTTGTGTTCCGATTCCCAGTTTCAACGAGTGACATCCAAGACCTGCGAAGAACTAGGACCAAGTATCCGTACTGCTAGGAATGAGAGTGTGGGTCATCCTTCCTGACGAGCACGAGTTGCTCAGGCCAGCAGAGATGCCGGCTGGGACAGGCGACAGGGCGGTAGAGAAAGAATCATGATGAACATCACCAGAAACCGTGATGTCAAATGTGTCATCTGGGTCTCTGGTTTCTCCTACTTCTCCAGGAAACAAGATCAACCACCACCCTAGAGGTACTGTTAAAGATGGCACACACTCACTATGAGAATAAGGAAGTCTAGTCTAGGCAGCCGGAAGGGTGGCTGTCAGGAATACCGTCCATCCATCCTGTCTTGAAGGTATTCATAGCAGCCCTCCACTACCGGGATATGGGATGCTGATGGCTCAAAACTTCATCCCTTGTTGGAAATTGCTTTACCTGAATGACATCTCTCCCTATGGGATGCAACAGCCAGCTAATAGCTGACTGCCGGATCAAGGGAGGAGGAGGCAAAGGTCCAGCACTCCTACCTTAGATAGCCCTGCAGGGTCAACCCAGCTCCCGAGCTCCCGTTGGGGTTGGCTGAAGCCTCCAAGCACACCGCGGGTAGCATTTCCTCCGCTGGATCCTGCCTTCCTGACCCCCCTTCCATGTGTATCTCCTGATAAGACTTCTGTCTCATATCCTGCCTGCAGCTCTCCAGCTCAGGGTCTGTTTCCAGAAAACTCGACTTCAGACTTCTCCCAAGCTCAGGTCAATGTGTTCAGAAACCCAAAGGATGTTGACTCAGTCCCCGGACTTAAGGGACTACTGCAGTTGTCCATCCGCTTGTCAAACAGTGGAACCTTATACGTTATTCCTGTCCTCTCCCACTGAAGATTATGGAAGTTACCCGGCAGCAGGAAAAGGCAGCCTCATCCCACACTTCATTGGTCAGAGACATTCATGTGCCCAACTCCCTCCCTCAAAACCACACGGCTGAGGAGAACGTTAGGCAACTATAGTAAAGACTTCGTAAGACAAGGGCAAATCCAGGGACCTCTGCGAGGGAGCATTAGCCAAGCTTGGCCTTCCAGACAGAAGGGGGCCGGCTACCAGCGTTCTTGAGGTCCACGGGGAACTCAGGAGTATGCAAGAGTATTTTTAGCAAATGACAGAAAAAATGGAGAAAACAGGTTGATTGATTGACAGACAACCCAATTTTTAATCTAGACATCTTTAATAAATTCTATGATGTAGGATTATCCATCTTATCTCACCCAGATTGCTGTCCCTCACAAGGAGATGGCCTTGATTTAGAGGCCAGAGTAAGTGGCTTTATCAATGGCCTTGATTTAGAGGCCAGAGTAAGTGGCTTTATCACAAGACTCACTTTAAATGCCCATCGTGTGCAGACCAGTCAGTGCCCAGGAGCCAAGTCTCACTGAGTTTGGTTGGTTTATTGGATGGGTGGTTGGTTAGTTTTTTTTTTTTTTTTTTTTTTTGAGACAAGGTTTCTCTGTGTATCCCTGGCTATTCTGAAACTCACTCTGTAGACCAGGCTGGCCTTGAACTCACATAGATCCCCTGTCTCAGTCTCCTGAGCGCTGGGGGTAAGTCATGCATCACCACCACTCAGAAGGACTTTAAAAAAATCTATTTCATTTTGTTTAGTGTATATGTGGGTGTATGTTCACGTATGTGGGAGCTCACACACCATGGCACATATGTGGAGGTCAGAGGACATGTGGGAGTCAGTTCTGTCCTTCCAAACCATGTAGGTCTCTGGGATCAAATTCAGTTTGCCAGGCTTGGTATCGAGCAACTCTGTCTACTAAGCCATTTTTCTGACCAACTTCCTGGTCTACAGAGTGAGAGACCCTGTTTCTAAAAAGCACCCCTTTTTCAACTATTTTTATTGTTGTCGAAATAGGTTCTCATGTAGCCTAAGCTGTCGTCAAAACTCTCCGTGTAACCAAGATGAACCTGCTGCTTCTACTCTCTAAGTATAGCGTTAGAGTGTATGCCAACGTTTCTGGTTTATGCCATGCCGGGGGTGGAACCCAGGGCTTTGAGCATGCTGGGCAAGCACTCTACCAACTGGGCCCCAAAACACATCTTTCTAGGTGCATGCTGTGGTCTGTGGGTCAGAGCAGGGCAGCTTTAGGGTCCTCGAGAAGGTAGAACTTCGGATTGGAGAAGGCAACTGAGAATCCCCTGCAGCATACAATACTCAAGTTCCAACAGCCAGCAACTGTATGACTTTGGCCAGAAGGCCAGCTCTGGGCTGGTTCTGTTGTCTGGCAACTGAGAACAACAGTAATATTGCCTGTTTCCCAATGTGGTGTCAATTCAATTAGAGTCAACACTATCTGAAGAGCTTTTAGCATAATGAACTGGCCCATAACAGTACCCTAAGACACTCACACCCTCAGATACCCAGGGAAGCCCCCCTTCCCCTCATGGGCTCCCTGATGGAGCTGACTAGCTGAGATTCCCTACCTCAGATAGCCTTCATCTAGATGAGTCGTTCAATCCCAATGGTCGTTATTTTGAAGGCCTGGAAGACAGGCCTCCTGGATTTTATCTCCTGTAACTCATTCTGTGGCCTACAAATAGAAAAGGACAATAATTCAGATATGGCGAGAGCCCGAAGACACCCCCCTCACACACAACCCCCGACCTCCAGCAGAAAGCACCCCTGCAGCCAAGTGGCGAGTTATGCTGTTGTGATAAAGAAGAAGCCTGTTTGAAAATAATCACAAGTTCTCTCAGGAAGCCCAATTATATTTTTACATCGAGAATCAAAACGCTGGTGGGGTAGACTTCAGCCCAGCCTTCCCGAACCTTTTATCCTGTAATTAAGCCGGCTCTGCCGCTGGGTTAATTCTCCCCTGAATGCCACCACCCTTTGAGGCAGCCCGTACGTCGGGAGAAGGCTTCAGTCTGATGATCTATTACACCAATACATCACTGCGGTGAGCTGCCTCCTTAATGACTTATCCATAACACATCAGCAGACTGAGGCACACTCATAATGTATTGCTCAATAAGTCTGCGGTGGCCAGGGGAGGAAGTGATGGGCAGCAGCCCGCTCCGTGTCCTGACATGGCTAGTGTCAGAGTGTGGGCCCACACTGGGCTCTCCCTTCCTAAACCAATGTTTATCCAGACGGGAGCTCTCTCATGCCCATGGGTTTTTAAAATGAGAACTCATGAGCCAGGGCAAGAAGGCCACTCCTGTCTGTGGGGTTTCTCTAGGCCTGTCGTGTCTAAGCATTCTCTCTAAGGACTTATTACGGAGGGGGCAGGGCCGCTGCATGCCCTGCCCCTAAGGAGTGGCATCCACTCTGCAGTCCATGCCAAGGGTCCCCAGCCACCACCCAGCACTGTGAAAGCTACAGCCTGAGCCACCCAACAGGAATGGCCTTCGTTAAAATCACAGCCCGCGGGTCTGGGAGAGCTGGCTCAGTCTCTCCGCTCCGCAAGCATGAGGATGAGTTTGATCATCCCCATGACCCTGGCACAAGCTGGGCGAGGTGGTGCATACTTCTCATCCATCTCTGGGGAGACTGAGACAGGAGGATCCGCGGGACTCACTGGCCAGCCAACTTAGTCCAATCAGTGAGCCTCAGGCTAAATGAGAAACCCCATCTTAAAATACAAGGTGAGCATAGAGACTGGAAGGATGGCGCAGAGGTTACTGACTGTTCTTACAGAGTTCAATTCCCAGCACCCACACGGAGGCTCACAACCATTTGTAATGAGATCTGGGGCCCTCTTCCTTCATGCAGGAGTGCACGCGGGCAGAACACTGTATACATAATAAATAAATAAATCTTTTTAAAAAAAAAAAACAAACAAGGTGAGCCCCTCCTGAAGAATGATAGCCAAGGTTGACATCCACCTTGTACATGTACACACACACACCGCAAAGACACACGCACATATATATACACACACAAACACACACAGCCCACAGACACATACACACTACAAATACACACACTATAGATACACACACAAACACACACACACACACCGGACACACACACCCCACAGACATACACACATACACACATCATAATATACATACACACAAGCACACACACAATCATTTTTTAAAAATCATTTATTATTTAATGTGTGCTGTGGTGTGCATGTGGAGGTCAGAGAAAAACTTGCAGGAGTCTGTCCTCTCCTTCCACCTTGAGGGTCCAGGAGTCAGGTTCAGACTCTCAGGCTTGGTGGCAGGCACCTTTACCCACTGGGTCACATCCTCCCTCCAGTACTGTCTGCCGCAGAGACTGGAGGAGACCACCTACCTCACTAGAATCGAGGTGCTGAATGGCAATACTGGACCGTGGAGCTACTCTAAGCCTGAGTCAGACAGTGTGCAGAGAGCGGCTACTCTAGAGAGGCATCTGACATTTGGGTAGAACACTGTCTTACCATACCAGAGGATCTGGGTTCGAGCCCCAGCACCACAGCAGCAGTAGAAGAAATCACTCCACCAGGCTTAGTCCTATAGTGAGTGATCCTCTTGATTCTGGGGGCCTCAAGGTCTTCAGGCTTCCCTCTCTGCGTTGTATTCTTCGTCCATGGAGACTCACTGGATTTTTCTTTATTTATATGTAGATATTTATGCTGTTTTTGTTCAGAAGAAATGGGGAGAAAGTGGAGAAATGGGTGTTCACAGAAGCACACAGTACGATGAAAATGAAGGCATCGGGGAGATCGGAGTATAGGGGATGAAATACTAAACAAGACTTAGGCAAAAGTAGTGTAAAGTGAGGAGAAATGGTGAGGACCCCAGGCCCTCACATCCTCGCCAGTCGTGCAGAACTCATCGCCTTGCTCAGAAAGCTAAGGATGGGCTGCCCAGCCTTGCAGTCTCACCGAAGAGGGAAGTCCTGGCTCAGAGTTCTTTCCTGTAAACACACAAAGAAACAGGCACAGTAATGGTCCTTGCAGCACCCTAGACAGCAGCCTCAGCACCAGGAAGGGGCTGAGCATGTGAGAAGGGTAGTCCACTTCTTTTTTTATTTATTATGTATACAATATTCTGTCTGTGTGTATGACAGGCCAGAAGAGGGCACCAGACCTCATTACAGATGGTTGTGAGCCACCATGTGGTTGCCGGGAATTGAACTCGGAACCTTTGGAAGAGCAGGCAATGCTCTCAAGCACTGAGCCAATTCTCCAGCCCAAGGGTAGTCCACTAAAAAAAAGGATTTATTTATGTCCATGGATGTTTTATTGTTTTATCTACATGTACATCTGCACACCAGAAGAGGGCAGCAGATTCCATGAGAATTACATGAGACTATAGTTATAAATGGTTATGAGTTTCCATGTCAGTGCTGGGAACTGAACTCAGGACTTCAGGAAGAGCAGTCAGTGCTTTTAACCACTGAGCCATCTCTCCAGCCTCTATTTATTTATTTATTTATTTATTTATTTATTTGAGACCGGGTCTCTCTATGTAGCTTTAGCTATCCTGGGAACTTGCTAGGTTAAACCAGGCTGGTTTCAGATACACAGGGATCCACATGCTTCAGCCTCCCAAGTGATGGGAATAAAGAGGTATGCCACCATACCAGGTTTAAGATTTATTTGTATGTCTATTTATGTGTGTGTCTGTCTGTTTGTGGAGATGAATGCCAAGTCTGTGCCAGTGCCAGAGGAGGTCAGAAGAGGACATCAGATCCCCTACGATGGAGTTATAGGGCATCATAAGAAGTCCAATGTGGGCGGTGGAGACTGAACTTGAGCCCTCTAGGGGAGCAGCAAGCGCTTTTAATCACTGAACCATCAACCAGACCCCTGGGGGGGGGATTAGTGGGAAAGATAAGCTCACAGTCCAAGAAGATGGCGCAAGGGTACAAGGCCAAGAATGTCCATAGAAACACTTTGTTGGAATTTATTTTATTTTATTTTTTTATGTAAATCTTTTTATTTACTTATTGATTGATTGGTTTTATTGAGTTGTTGGAATTTTATAAGTTTAGTCATTTCCAACTCAGAGCAGTATACAGCCGGGCTAACATCTGCCTGTATGTAGCTCTATTTTAGATAGTCTTTGCTCTTTTTTCATGCTTAAGGATACTACACCAGAGCTATGCCTGAATGTAGATTTGACTGAATTTAGCAGTCAAGGCTAACTTGGAAACTAAGACACCAGATTTACCAAAGCCATAAAAAAAATAAATCTTCCCCCTTGTTCAGAAGCAGCGCCAGTTTTCCTTGAACTAAGATGTGACAGAACGTTCTCTCGTGGGTCTCTGTGAGTGAAAAGATGGATAGTGGCATTTCCTCAGGATGCAGAAATAGTCTGCAGAGCAGGAGCATGCCCTGGCATCCTGAGATGCTGGCCACAGGCTCAGCACCGACAGAGGATTCAGCAGCAGCAGCTCAGACATCCCCAGAGCCAATGGGCCTTCCTGAGGCAGGTGGGAGGCAGGCAGCCGCTGATGCATTGCTGTAGATAAAACAAGCCCACCCCGGATAAGACTCTCCTCAAACTCATGGACACTCCATCAAGGTCCTGGTACTGGCACAGAAGGCAGAGGCCAGGCTGGCAGCTACAGCCCTGGCACTGAAGACATCTACTCCGTGTGCGTGAGTGGCATCTAGGCTGCCAGGATGGAAAGGCTACTTGCCTCACTCAGCAGAGCCCAGGGAGGCTGGTGGTAAAGCCCCAGGGGACTCCTAGGAAGGCAGTTAATATTCAAGAGAGAGCACAGAAATGCAGTGAGAGTTTGTTTTTACTATAACAAATAAAGCTTGCCTGAAGATCAGAGTGCAGAGCTAGCCACGTTAGTTAGCCATAGAGGCCAGGCAGTGGTGGCGCACACCTTTAATCCCAGTACTCTGGAGACAGAGGCAGACGGGTCTCTGTGAGTTCAAGGCCATCCTAGGCTACACAAGATTGATCCAATCTAAAAGAGAAACAGAGCCAGGCAGTGATGGCTCACACCTTTAATCCCAGTACTTGGGAAGTCACACACCTTTAATCCCAGCACTAGGAAGGTGGAGACAGGAAGGGATATGGCTGGGCAAAGATAGGAATATAAGGCGGGAGGAGACAGGGGCTCATGCATTCAGTCTGAGGGTTTGTGGGGACAGGATCTTGCCCACCTTGGTCTGAGGATTCGGTAGAGGTAAAGGGTCTGTCTCTCTAGTGGCTGGTTTTTTAGTGCCTTTAATCTTTCAGCACTTACCCCGATATCTGACTCCAGGTTTTTATTATTAAGACCAATTAGAATTCACGCTACACAGAAGCATCTTGGAGTTTAAAGCAAGCACGCTGAGAGGGTTTGAGCAGCTAGCCTCTCTCTCAGAGTTCTTCAGCGTGCTGAATGTCCCCACTGGTCAGCCCTGGGTGCAGGCTGCTCTGTGCTGGGCTCTGCACGCTCACGGTGTGGGCTGATTCCTTTTCCTTGCATCTTTATATCTGCAGCTGTGGAAAGCCTGGGCGTTTACAAAGTTTGACTGCAGACAGCATCTAGCTCTACTTTGGTACTTGCACATGAACTTGGCGTTGACCTTGTCATCCCCGTGGTCAGGATGGCTCCCCATTGGTCAGTTCATCCATTTGACACATGTACTTAGGTTCCAAATTCTGTGCTGGGACCGGATGTGGCTCAGAATGGTTAAGTGATGTGTTCAGAGCCATGAGCATCAGGATCCGGGACAACAGAGGAGAAAGGTGAGAGTCTTCCCCTGTTGTCACTGCTCCTGCGCGTACACAGCAGACGGGTAGGAATGAGGACTGGCAAGGCACAGAGGGGAGTCACCGAAGCTGCTGCAAGTCAGGATTGACAGCTTGGGGGGTGGGTGGAAGCAGGAGTAATCATGAGTTCAAGGTCATTCTCTGCTCGCTCTCT